AATTGCGACGACATGGACCTCCGGGGATATTTGCCGGAAAAACTCCGGCCGGTAGCCGGAATATTAATAGAGACGACGGTTTTTGCGACGACAGTGGTGTATTAGGGACGACATTTATTAGAGACGACAAAGGGGCTATTAGCTACGAGCCAATTGCGGCGTCGCTTTAGCGACGACATGTCGTCGCTAATACCTTTAGCGACGACAGTCGTGATCAATTGCGACGATTTTTGTCGCCGCTAAATGTTAGTTTTCTTGTAGTGTAATTATATATGTAAAGTATTAAATATAATAAATATGATACTAAAATTCCAATAAATATATTTATTCTTTCCTTGTTTTGAAATTTTACTTTAAAAAATACTTATATCTTACGCTTTGATATTTAATTTTTTTTAATCAACCTATGCAAAACATAAGTTTCACACATAATAAAAGAACGTATAAAAGGTCTTAAAATAACCACGAGATTATAAAAAAGCTTGATAGGAAAGTAGGAAATCAATAGAAAAACTATTATATATATATATATATATATATATATATATATATATATATATATTAAATTACAAATTCTCAAAGAAAAGTAATATAGAGATCAAGGGTAATTTTATAGAATTTAAAAAGCTTAATTAAATTTTAACTATTTGAAAAAGTGTGAAAAGTAATATAGAGGTCAAGAGTACCTTTAATAGTACTTTTTTTATAAATGTTTTATTATTATTTGAAAAAGACAATAATAGTCTTTTTTAATCATGGGAAAATAGAGTTCTTTTAACATACCACTCCAACCATTTAAACGTCTTAACCCTAAGTCCCTAACATCATTGTTTGATATAAAAAATGTGTAAAGAATGGTGCAAAGATGAATCTCCAACCTTATATTACATTTTACATCAAAAACAATATCCTAAATGTGTTCTCTTTTTGTGGCTTATTTAGATTTTCAAAAACACTTTTTCATTTATTATGGTTTTTTTTATAATAAAGTTGTTTTATAGCCTTTTGTTACAACTTTAAAAATATATTTAAAACAATCATTACATCTAAATATAGTGATCAGATATATTTTATTTCTTTCAAATATATTTGAAATAATTTTTATATTTAAAATATAATTATACAATTAACATGACTCAAAATTTATAAACTCAACCTTTAAACAACTAAGATAAACTACATATACGTTAACTCAAACTTAAATGACCAATAAAGACACACAAAACCTTAACAACACCTAATTTGACAATAACCAAAATATAAAACCAAAAAAGTTGGTGTTATATTATTTAAGGTGGACAATATTGTGTTTGGTTTGACGAGTGATGAGGATGTACCATCGGTACCTCCATGAATACCATTTCCACCATAAAATTGCTTTCAAAATGCTTGTTTCA